GTTTAGTGGCCTTGTATCTACGCCATAGTGCCACCAATAAAAAGAAACAGTCAAACGAAAAGAATTCTGGCTGAGGGGAAAGTTTACGCATAGAATAAACATCACATTCATTGTACTCATTCGATGAAATGCCGAACTTTTTTCTCTTAAGAATAATTCGAATAAAGAGTTCTACAAAATAGACAAAAGGGAAAACATTTATTTGAAGTACTTTCGTTTTTTCGTAGTTAAACTTACCATGGAACTACCTTTTAACCCTTCTTTGAAAATCTTTTTAATCAATCTCTTTCAAAGATAAAAAATCTGAAGCTTTGACTTGAATCAGCAGCACATCGAATGAAAACATTTGTTTGATGTTATAGTATCAGAAAAAGGTTTTGACCTGTCTTTTAGTGCTCAATCAGCAATGACAACACGTTTCAATAAACGTATTTGAATACCTTCGCGAACTACACTATCGTTTTGTTTTTTCAAAAGAAAAAAAAGAAATTTCGAATATATATAACATGAACTTTTATAGTGTTGTATGCTTTTGTATTTTCATACAGAAATTCGTATAAAAACTTAAAACAACTATTAAACATAATGTTATTTCACACTATTTTACACGTTGCTTTGAAAGAATGAAGAACACCTTTTCACATAAATTTTAAAAGATAGTTGTTAAACACTATTGTAACGATTTTTAGATTGGAGAAAGCTTATTGAAGATAGTGTTAAAGTTGATTTGGCTTGTTCATATTATAAATCGCATCTATTTCACAAAAAGCATACGCATATATACTCAAACATCAGAGAGAAGAAAGGTATATGAGAGGAAAGGATAATAAGGACAGAAAGTAGAAGCAATAAGATAGGGACGACGTCAAGGACACAATAAAATATGATGTACAAAGTAAGGATAGAAAGGTAAGAACAATACATGAGATGAGAAGAAATAGTAAGAAGCGCTCAAACATCACACATACGATGCATTCAACTGGGAGCATCACATCTACATATAAGTAATTAAATATTCGGCGTATACTTGTGCATCATGATAAGTGACGAAAATATGATTTCCATCAGTTGTTGAATCGAATCCTAAAGGTCGAGTTTTCATGGAACCATCACCTTTAGTTGTTTTCCCAATCAGAACGCGGTTGACAAACATACATCGCTCTCCACTAGTGTTTGGATGAGCATAGCCATGACTATAGACTGGGTTTGATGAAAAATAAACACCATGGCCAAATGAAGTTCCTGAAGACAAAATTCATTCAAGTGAGACTTCTAGAAAAAAAAAGACTGAACTTACCGTTCACCCCAGCGAAACTTCTATTAAAACAATCATCGATAATCGCGATTGCTGCTTTTTCAGGACAGCCATGATATAAACGTTTTTCAGTGTCAGTTCCTAGTCTTTTTTCAAAATCTCGTTTGTGAGCTGCATATTGAATATACCACCTCTCATTCTGAATTCGTTCGAGCTTTATTATTTGTGTATACTTTCCGGTCATTGCTTGATTGAAATTATTCATAATAGATCGGTATTCATCCGTATTGTTAGCCACCGAAAATCGTATTCGATGGCCTATGGAATGCTCCCATTTCGGTGGTAGCTCATTTTCGAATGTGGTTTTCCTAACTAAGAAAAAGTTCACAAGCAATTCAATATATGTTTCTTAGAAATGTTTCAATCAAAAAGAAACATTTACCTGGAGTTCAAATTAATTAGTTCTCCAGCAATGCTCAATTAGACAAAGTCCAGCATTTTTTATATCTCTTCTACATCTATTACTCAAAAAATGTACATTTATTGTTATAATACTAAGAATATATTATAGTCAGTAACGTGGTAATAAAACAGTATACTTCGTAATAGAAACAGTAAGTGAGGAGAATGATAATAGATGTCAAATTTATTCATGAAATTAAATTCAAGTTTCAACTTGAAAAACATTCTGTATTTCTCTCGATGTAAGCATGTATAGAAAAAACCGTCATAGCTATATATTGAAACAACCCGCAATGCGCAAACACCACTGATCTCACAAATCTCGATCACTATCCTCACACTTAAACCAACGTTGTCAGTATTTATGACTACTTAACTCTAGACTTATGCTCATCATCCTGTAGATTTATGGAGAAAATCATGAGTTTTCTCTATATTTTTGATAGAAACATCACCATTCATGACTATAACTTCACATTTTCATTAATCGGTCTCTACATTTATGGATCTCATCTGTTGAGACCCGAGGAATGTTGTGTTCAAATTTCAAGAAAACTTTTCCATATGGACTAAGTATGAAACCTTGGAATACGATAGATCTCTTAGAGAGCTTCAGCGCCAGTTACAATCGCAGTATGAAGTTTAGTAAAGTACTCAATATGAGAGGTAAAGATCAAAAATCGATTATTGTCATAATTTTGAGCTTTACTCCGGATATTCAAATTTTTTAATCCCGTTTCAATCGACTCAATAGATCGGTAAAACAAAATCCTACACTAATAGAAGTAGACATTTAAAGTTTACTTTCATCTGATACCATGATTTGTGTACAAAACTCATCATAAACGTTTTGTTTTTCAGGTTCAATAACAAATTTGACTGTCCATGATAGTTTTCTGTTTCTAAGCTGTCTTTTAATCTCTCGAACCATTGTTTCAACTACAATATTAACGGAACAATTATGTTCCCCGCATCCGATAGCTGGAAATGCAATTGATCGATAATTATGGGCTTTGACACTTTGAACAACAGTCAACATAAAATCAGAGATCGATCGTCGAAGTTCAGATTCATCTTTACTTGGCTCCCATTTAAGAAAAAAAATCCGTTTACAAAGTAGTTGTCCAGGTAGAGTAGATATTAGGATTGAATTCGGATTATGTAAATATTCTTTTTGATATTCAGTCTCAACTTCAGGACCAGCCACTCGGATTATCATTTTTTTTAAGTTCTTTGATGATGAACTTCCAATAATAGCGTCAACCTACAAAGAATAATGGAGTATAAAACATTATTGTACTGTTTGATGTGCATAGTTCTGTACCTGCTGCGTTGTTATATTACCCTTTTCAACTATAATTGTTCCTTTTCCAACTGAAACGGACATTGCTGACGTATCTGAAGGCTGCTTGAATTGCTTTAATAAATCGATTTGCTTTTTAAATTCATGATAAATATCTGCTCTGTCAGGCTGTATTATGAAGGAAACAGAAATACCGTGGATATCCAGTAGTCGATGAGCGTCTTCAACTAAAGTTTTTGCAATAAGGCTGATCGAGCAACCAGACTGACCGCAACCAATAGCTGGAAATGCAATACTATGATAATTTTCATTCGATGCTTTCTCGATTGCTGTTAAAATAAATTGTTTCAATGATTGACAGAGTAGAGTCTCATCGGTATTCGATTGCCATGGTATAAAATAAACTTTTTTCGATCGAAGTTGTCCACTACTCGCAATAGAAGTGACTGATGTTGGATTTGTTTTTGATTCTCTATTGTACAATGTTCTTAGGGCATCTCCACCAGCTTTAAAAATATTTTCGAGTAAAATCTGTAATGATGAACTTACAACAATAACATCAACCTGAAACGAATTCGAAGTTTACCATATAAGAAATTATAGAAGAATAATCTTACTCGTTCCGTTGTTAAATCGCCTTGCTGAATATGTATTGCATAATTCGACTTTGTAGATATGGATGTATGCTATGATAAAGAGAGCCGAGCAAAATTTTACTGAATCGTCTTCAAGATATTCTTCTTTGGAAGAAAAATACTCGATATGTCAAGATTTTCTTGACATTGTATTCTGCATGTATTTTTGTTCCGGAGTATGACAAAATGTCGATCTTTTTTTCCAATAGTTCTTTCGTCGAGCCCGCTACTACTTTCTATTTAGCTTAACTTAGAACCATAAACGTAAATGTTTTACTTAGGGTGTACCAAAAGTTCTGATCACGACGTTACATAGCCATATAGTAAGCTTAAAAAAAACTTTCTTTCTATATAGTCTAATAGAGAAAAGAGTGCCCTATTTTGCTATGC